CCTCAAAAATAAAAAAATATGTTCCAACAAATTAAAAAAAAAAAAAAAAAAAAGAGGTGTTCATAATATTCTAAGAATATGTGACGCGTTATCCAGAAATTAGATTCAAACGTGACTGTGCATGTACTAGCAGATCAAGAAGTCCAATTAGAAAGACATAAATTGGTGAAATTACTGGATTCCCTAATTATTACTTAACGTATTGAATCGAACCCAAACCTCGAAAGAGGATAAAATAACGAGCGTAAAGCAAAAGTAAATCAAGAGAAGGAAAATTTTATAAGAAATGAGTAAAGAAGAGGAAAATACATACCATATCTATAAGAAGTTACAGCAAAAAAGCAACAAGCGGCGGCGGTGACGGAGAAGGGTAAGCTAAGCGGATCCTCGCCCTGGGCTTGGCTTTTCGAGGTTTTTTCACCAATTCTTTGCCTAATCTGCCTTCTGATTTTTAATCGAATTGGTGTGTATTTTTTTCTTTTCTTTCCCAGGAATTTCTTTAAAAATACCAAAGCAGAAAATGAATAAATTATTTTTGGCTAAATTACATGTTTAGTCACCAATCTTTTCCCCTCACTGCACTTTCCTCGCAAACATTTTTTATTAGAAAATTTTCACATTTCGTCCCTAACCTTTACAAAATGAACAAATTTACCATCAATCTTATTTTTAGCAAGAGTCAAAAGTTGCGACCGAAAGAGGAGACTCACATTTCCAAACAGTTCAAACTTTCATTAAAATCTTTTGTAAGAAGGAAAGAGCTCCCCACACAGGCCCTTTGCACAGGGCTTGTACAGGGGCTCTCACATGGGAGTGGACCTCATGTGTGGAGTCCATCCCCATGTGTGTGCACTTGTACAGGCTCTGTGCAAAAGAGCAGGTGCAGGTAACACAATTCTTGTAAGAATCAACTCCAAATAGGTTCTCCTTCTTTTTTCATCTGTTATCTTAAATGATTTTTTACTTTAATTTTAAGTAAAATTGTATTTATTATTTTCAAAATACAATTTTCTATTTTTTTTAATCATATTTTTCAATAAAATAATATTATATGCAAATTCAAAATTTTTCCTTACACATTTTTCAATAAAATAATATTACATACAAATTCAAAATTTTTCATTACTTTTTAATCACACACTTTCTATCAATTTACTATTCCAAAATGCATTATAAACAAAAAATAAGGCTCAAACAGGGCTCGAACAATTTAGGTATAAATAGTTGGAAAAAATTCATATATGCATGTAATAAAATAAAATATTCATTTTATATTGTTATATTTATCCTTATTTTGATTTTACTACAAATACTAAAGATAAAGCTAGATTTACTGTGTGGGATATTTTCCTTAATTCACGCAATAACTGAAAACCGTTCAAACAATTATCATGGGCAACATTCAATACATTGTAGAGGACATGAAATTTCAAATTCAAATAGGAGGATACTACAAGAACAATAGCAGTGAAAATCTGAAATTCATCATCACCATGGAGAACGCGTGAACTGAAATAAATCAATCCCTTGCGTGTTCGTCGGATTGCTTGGGGGGTTTCAATTTGTCCTAAATTTTGCGATTAAGAAGGTAATTAATTCAATTTCTGGAGAATTTTCTTGAAGTTCTCTATGTGCCGTATCTACCTCTGTAAAGTATTATTACTTTGTGAATGTATATTTAGATTTACGTTATTTCTTTTTCTTTTTCTCTAATGCAACCGATCGATGCATGAAAGATCGTTTAGACATAAGTTCACCAACATGGGATGAAATTAAATTGGGGTATTATAGTGTAAGCTTCAAATCTCCATAGTTATATCACCGTTTCTTATCTGTCATTAAACAGAATGTATTTTGATAAACATCATAATATGTTCTATCTTGACAACAACTAGTATTGAGCTTTGTGGAATGATCTGTTTATTGTGTCTACAAATATAATAAGTGCTAAAATATTAGAATGCGTTCTAATTGATAGCATATGATGCTGTATGATGGTATGAAGTGTGTCTAATAATACTGAACTTGTTTGTCGTGGTCAACTGTGATTACTATAGGTAAAATACTTTGAGGATCATATCAACTTATGGTGAATCCTCTATTGATGTGTGGATGCAGGTTTGGACTTTGTAACCAGCGAAGCAAGGACATTTGTACTTTTCATACCTAGTGGAGGCAACCATTTTTAAGTGGATGGGGAGCTTCATGTCAACACAAATTAGTTGTGATCGACAATAGAGATGAACAGCCATATAGTTATTGTACACGTTATCACACAAAGGATAGTTACCTGGGATCTTATGTTGGATACATTGTACCACTCGACGACTGTGTCAATTAGATAGAAAGAGTAATTGACGGCCAGCAAGTAATTGACGCCAGAATTAGAGATGCTTTGTATAGCTTTGTATATTAGTTGTAATTGGTAGAAAATTGCTAATTTGCCTTATTATTCCTATATATACAAAGGAACCCCCACAATGAGGATTATTGAGTCAAAAAGGAGAAATTGAATACCTTGACATGGTATCAGAGCTTCTGGAAGTGTAGGTTAATTTCCAATCACCATCTTCTGCGGTGACGGGAAACTTGTTTGAGATCCTCACAATCCGGTCGGAATTTGTTCATGAATTTCTGGGCCGAAGGATTCCTGGTCGGGACTCTCTGTAGCGACCGACCCTTGCTTGGTTCATCTCTGGTTGGTTGAACCTATCGGCGTCTTCAGTGGAGGCATGTACGTGGCTTCTGGGTTTCGCATCTGTCGACGGGTCCGGTGGAGGAAAGACCGTTGATCGCGTGATTAAAGGTTTGACATTAACCCGTGTGTGTTGGACTACTTAATCCATTGTTTAATTGGGGCCTATTCTATAGAGTTTACTTGGGCTTGGTTTATGATTTTGGGGGGCTTATTCAATTTTGGTTCTGCTGAATTTATATTGGGTCCTTTTTTCACTAGCATAATTAACTACGTACAGATGTCAACCAACATATATGAAACTTTCGGTGTGCACTTCACGGGTAAAAATTATTCTACATAGGAATTTCAATTTCGATTATTCATTATGGGAAAAGAATTATGGGGTCACATTGATGAAAGTGACCCAGCTCCTACTCAGAATATTCAATTGGGCCAATGGAAAGTGAAAGATGCTAGGGTTATGATATGGATTTTAGGATCTGTTGATCCTATGATTGTCCTAAACCTAAGACCTTATGAGACTGCTAAAGAGATGTGGGAGTATTTAAAAAAGGTCTACAATCAAGACAATACAGCCAGACGATTTCAATTGGAGTATGAAATTGCAAATTACACTCAGGCCAATCTCAACATTCAGGATTACCTCTCTGGGTTTCAAAGCTTATGGGGTGAATTTGCTGACATTATCTATGCTAAAGTACCAGTTGAATCTCTTGCTGCCGTTCAAACTGTACACGAACAAAGCAAGTGAGACCAGTTTCTACTGAAGTTACGTCCAGAATATGAGGCAATTCGCTCAAATCTAATGAATCGTGATTCGTCCCCTTCTTTGGATGTTTATTTTGGGGAGTTACTTCATGAAGAGCAGCGTCTTACAACACAGGCCACTCTTCAACTTCAACATCAACATATGACCTCAGATGATGTCGCTTATGTAGCTCATGGGAAAAACAAAGGAAGGGACGTGAGAAAGGTTCAATGCTTCAGTTGCAAGGACTATGGGCATATTGCTACTCACTGTACCAAAAAGTACTGCAATTACTGCAAGAAGTCGGGACACATTATCAAAGACTGCCCTGCTCGACCTCAAAATCGTCAGGCTAATGCATATCAGGCTACTGCCAGGCCATCGACTTCTGAGACATCATCTACTACTACCCAATTTGCTCTTACTCCTGAAATGGTGCAACAAATGATTGTGTCAGCTTTTGCTGTTTTGGGACTTCAAGGTAAACATAATACTTCATCTCAATCTTGGCTAGTTGATTCAGGTGTCTCAAATCATATTACCAGTTCCTCTGATGGTCTTTATGATATTCGCCCATATTAAGGCTCATCTCATATTCAAACAGCTAATGGTAGTCATTTAGCTATTAATGCTGTTGGTAACATTAATTCTGCTTTTAGAGATATTTTTATATCTCCTGGTTTATCTACAAATTTGATTTCAGTTGATCAATTAGTTAATAACAATTATGATGTCCATGTTTCTCGTGATGGTGTTCTTGTGCAGGATCAAGTGTCGGGGAAGATACTAGCGAAGGGGCCTAAAATTGGACGATTGTTTCCATTACATTTTTCTATTCCTAGTTGCTTATCTTTGGCTTGTATAACCGTTAACAATAAAAGGACATCCAAACTCCACTATCCTGTCTTATTTGTTAAACTCTAGTTTGTTAGGTAATAAAATAATTCTTCTCATAATTTGTGCTTTGATTGTTCTACATGCAAATTGGGAAAGAGTAAGACTCTTCCTTTTCCTTCTCACAGTAGTCGTGCCAAAAAGAGCTTTAATATTGTGCATAGTGATGTTTGGGGCGTTTCACCTGTCACCTCTCGTGCCCAGTATAAATATTTCGTGACTTTTATTGATGATTATAGCCGATACACATGGATCTATTTTCTTCGTTTTAAATATGAAGTCCTTTCAGTTTTTCGGACATTTGTGACATATGTTGAGACCCAATTCTCCACTAGTATTAAAATTTTACGATCTGATTTAGGTGGAGAATATATGTCCCACGAGTTTCGTGGTTTCTTAAAACAAAAAGGGATTTTGTCTCAACGATCATGCCCTTATACCCCCTCAACAAAATGGGGTGGCAGAATGAAAGAATTGTCATGAACTGGATGTTGTTCGTACATTATTACTTGATTCCCATGTTCCTTCAAAATTCTGGGTTGAAGCAGTATCCACTGCAGTTTATTTAATCAATAGATTGCCTTCCCAAATTTTACGCTTTGACTCTCCATATTATCACCTTCATAATCAACATCCTACTTATCATGACTTGCATACTTTTGGGTGCATTTGTTTTGTTCATTTACCTTCTCATGAATGACACAAGCTTTCTGCACAATCTGTTAAGTGTGCTTTTATGGGCTACGGGGTTTCGCACAAAAGTTATGTTTGCTATGATCCATGTTCTAACAGATTTCGCATTTCTTGTAATGTTGTTTTCTTTGAGCAACAATCTTTCTTTCATACTCATGCTCAATATTTACCTGAAATTAGTATTCTCCCATGCTTTGACGATTTGACTTCTCATCCTGAAAGATTCAAGCCCGGACTCATGTATGAGAGACGTCGACCAAATAGGCCTCTTCCTGAAGTTGACCTCACATCTGATCTTGTCCAGCCCCTCTCTTTTGAGCCTGAGTTGACATCAGATACTGATGTACCTCCTGATCCAAGTCCTCGACGATCTACCCGTATTTCTTGCCCCCTTGATAGATATGGTTCTTTTCATTCATTTGCCACTACATTGACATCTATACCTCCTAGTTATTCAGAAGCAGCTAAACATGAATGCTGGCGAAAGGCTATGGATGAAGAACTTCGAGCACTTCAGGATAATCATACTTGGGATGTTGTTCCTTATCCACCTAATGTCAAGGCTATTGGTTGTAAGTGGGTATATTCTATCAAGCTTCGTTCTGATGGAACTCTGGATCGTTATAAAGCTCGCCTAGTTCTACTCGAAAATAAGCAGGAATATGGGGTAGATTATGATGAGACATTCGCTCCAGTGGCAAAGATGACTACATTGCGCACTATTTTTTCTATTGCAGCTTCTCAGGGGTGGCCTCTTAACCAAATGGATGTCAAAAAATGCTTTTCTTCATGGTGATCTCAAGGAAGATATTTACATGACACCTCCTCCGGGTCTTTTTTCCTCTTCTTCACAAGTATGTAAGTTGAAAAAGTCTCTTTATGGGCTAAAACAAGCTCTTCGAGCAAGGTTTGAGAAGTTTCGATCTACTTTGTTACAGCTTTCTTTTATCCAGAGTCAGTATGACTCCTCCCTATTTCATTGTAAGACATCTACAGATATTGTTCTTTTACTTGTGTATGTGGATGATATTGTTATCACTGGCACGGATTCTGGTTTGATAACTCAACTCCAGCAGCATCTACATGCTTCCTTTCACATGAAAGATCTTAGCCCACTTACATATTTTTTGGGTTTGGAAGTACACACTAATTCCACAGGTATATTTTTGAACCAACACAAATATATCCAAGACTTGATCACTTTGTCTGGTCTTCAAGATTCTTCTTCTGTCGATACTCCTCTAGAAGTCAATGTTAAATATCGTCGTGAAGAGGTGAGCTCCTTCCTGATCCGACTATCTTTCGTCAATTAGTTGGGAGCCTCACCTACTTGACCATCACTAGGCCTAATATATTATTCGCATTCCAGCAAGTCAGTCAGTTTATGCAAACTCCACGACATCTTCATCTTGTGGCAGTTCGTCGCATCATTCGGTACCTCCAAGGTACTCTTCATCGTGGATTGTTTTTCCCTTCTGGGTCTCCTATTCATCTTGTTGCATTTAGTGATGCAGATTGGGCCGGTTGCCCTAAATACTTGTCGTTCTGTTACGGGCTGGTATATGTTTCTTGATAATTATTTAATCTCCTGGAAGAGTAAAAAGCAGGCACGTGTGTCTAAATCTTCAACTGAATTCGAATACCGTGCCATGTCCGCTGCCTGTTCTGAGATTATTTAGCTCCGTGGGCTTTTAGCTGAACTTGGCTTTCCTCAGTCTAATCCTACACCCCTTCATGCGGACAACACGAGTGCTATTCAGATTGCTGCAAATCCAATATATCATGAGCGTACAAAGCATATCGAAGTGGATGTCACTCAATTCGAAAGGCTTTTGACGCAAATATTATTTCTCTTCTGCATATCTCTACTGATCTACGGATTGCCGACATATTCACCAAAGCCATCACACGACAACATCATCTCTTTCTTGTGGGCAAATTGATGCTTCTTGATCACCCAGCATCAATTTGAGGGGAGATGTCAATTAGATAGAAAGAGTAATTGACGGCCAGCAAGTAATTGACGCCAGAATTAGAGATGCTTTGTATAGCTTTGTATATTAGTTGTAATTGGTAGAAAATTGCTAATTTGCCTTATTATTCCTATATATACAAAGGAACCCTCACAATGAGGATTATCGAGTCAAAAAGCAGAAATTGAATACCTTGACAGACTGTGCCCTATGAAAAGTAGACAATCACCGAAGTCATGAGATATTGTCGCCTAACTCGAAGAGGCAATCTAGTAGACCGAAAAAGACAAGAGGAAGAACAAGAATAGAGTTATCCAACCCAACATGGTGTGAAGGTTCAAGTCACAGTAGGAGAACATGAAAGCAGCGACCTCAACCTTTGAGTCATGTCCAGAATCGTAAACAGGGATCGAATGTCAAGATGACATACATGACACATCACTGGACAATCCATCAAACATTCACTTAGTATTAGTGCAAATGTAGTACTTCATTGCTTAATTTTTTTTAAAGAATTTATCTTTCCTTCAATAATGTTGATGTTCCTCGTACATGTATTTTTTTTATTTTTTTTTTATGAATGAGAAAAGCATTCTTATGATTTGTATATACATGTGAGCTATATAAAGGTTATCAGATAGCTAATTAAATCGGATATGAATAGTAGAGTAGTTTAATTTTTATTTATTTTTTTCACAACTGCACAGCGATTCTCTAATTTCTGCATTTTTCAACTGTTGAATATTTGTTCAAAATCAATAGAATGATAATGGACTAATTGTTGGACTCAATTGTGAAATTGGTAGAATCAAAATAAATTGAAAAATGAAAATTTTGATTTTTGCCCATGCGTACGCACATGCTTATTTTTGTACATACGCGAGATGTGCTTTGGCAAAATCAGAATTGCTTTTGCTTTTGCTTCTACTATGCGTACGCATAGTGTTAAAAATTAGCCGTTGGCTGATTTTTCAATTTGAAACTTAGGAGCCGTTTTGGATTAAAAGTTGTCACTTTTCATCTTGTTTTGGCACCATTTCGTGATGTATTGATTGAGACCTATAAATAGGTGATGAATGATCAATACAAACATTATTAGAATCGTTAAAAACATCTTGAGATCCAGATATCATTCCATATATCAAACTATTGATTTACATTCATATTCAAGATCTTCCTTTGTGTTCTTAAAGTTTTGGAGGATTGCACTTGTGCTTTGATGTTAAATCCTTTACAAGGCTTGATATAATCCTACAAACCGTTTACCAAAACCTTTAAGCATCTCATTCAATCCCGAGAGGGGGCAAATATAGTTTGAGAACAACGATTCCGTGTTCAAGCCTCAAATTCGTTCTTAACGTATTTCGTGATTTCTATTCATTTTCCTTCTATAATTTTGTTGTTGTTTCTTCTCCTACCCCTTATTTCTAGCATCAACAAATATATTGTACCATTCATTTGTTACTACATCCTTTCCAAACTCAAGGTACACGTACAAAGTGTTACACATTCGTGTTAACTGAAAAATGGAGTACAGATCCAAGTTTCATGTGACATTTGTTGTTGTAAGACGTAATTAAAACTTAATAATTTTTTAATTGAGTTTTAGTTGTGTAGTCTATTTTGCTTATATTTTTATAGAAAAATTTAATTTCACATGTTATGTAATTTCATAATTATCTAAATTATGGTTGGAGAATACACAAATTTAATGGGTGTAAATGAGTAACCATGAGACAAACAACTAAAATTATACAAGCGAATTTACCATGGTGTTTTACTCTCAACAATTTGAATATTCATGTTAACTGTTTGAATGGAAAATTTAGTTTTTAGATGCAGAAAAAAAGGGGGGGGGGGGGGGGG